ACTTGACTTCGCAAACACTAATTGATTAGACACCAAAATGATTTGTTTAAAGAGTTTTCCTCCTTCCCAAGTGCAGCTGTTCTGGGCCTGCGTTGGCCGCGTTGCCGGGCGACGGTGGAGTTCGCCAAGTGGGCGTGCGTGCGTCGGGCCCCGGCTTGGGGTAGGTTGGCTGGTCTAAGCCCTGTGCATCTGGGACTCTCAGCTGGGTGGTGACTGGTGACTTCTGCTCTTTAATTATCTCCAGCTTCGGAGAAGAAGTACTAGAGAGCATCGTTAGTACAATTGGCCCTCCGTTCACCCCTCTGCGTTTTCCTTACTTTGAGTCGCTTTGAATGGCACCGCCATGAGGGTCCTCACTCTCACCCCTTCCTTTCAATTCCCAGTTTGGACACTCTCCACCACCAGACGGCCACTGCTAATCCATCGCGGACCTCCAAAGGACAAGGGCTAGAAAAAGAGTATTCACCGCTGCCCCAAATCTGGAAAATTCACTGGCTCCTCACCGGCTCCCTCACCACCTTGGGCAGGGTGCCTCTCTCCGTTAATATATAATTCTAACCAAGAGAGAAAATCCACTGAAGGTCAGACTACAGAAGGCCAGCGTCCCGGGAGTGAGGCTAACCTTGCCCGGCACTGGGCTCTGGCACCCATCACCCTGGAGCTAGAAGCCTCTCCCTTAGTCCCACAGCCTCTGTGACACCCAAAGCAGGCGACCCCCAGAAAGAGTTTCAACCCAGAAGATTCCGTTGGTAGTTCACCCAGGGTCCCAGGAGAGCAGGTGGTTTTCCTCCTTGCCCAGGAAGTAACCAGAGATGCTCTCCACGTGGTCAGTTCTCCCACCGCCACCGAGGCGGCTCCAAGCAGTTCCTGGAACACCATGTTAGGTGGGGGTCAGGGGCAGCTGATGGCCCTTCCGCAGGCTTCTTCTTGAGGAATATGGGGGGATAGGAGTTGAAAGAATGGGTGGTGCAAAAGTACTGGGTTTAAAATCATTTTCATGCGCAAAACAATATTTAGGAAGGAAAAGGAGGAGGGAGGTTAGCCGGACAGAGGAATGAAAACTATATAGGCACAAAATACAGGCACAAAGTTTGAAAGGGGGCATTAGAAGCCCCACCCGAATGAGAAGACACTATTTCCCCCCTATTGTGCAGGGGAGGGGGTTGGGAAACGGTGTCACTGGAACTGGGAATTAATTTGTTGTTTTAAATTTTTTTTCAATAATGCACCATCAGACCACCTGTTCTAAAATTCTTGTCTATTCTAAGCGCCAACAGCAATTTTCGGAATAAATTTTCTCCAGAAAAGGAAAGACTCCAGAGGAAGACAGTAGAACCCTGTTGGAAGCATCTAGAATCAAATCCTTCACCCCATTTATCAAGGGTTCTGCTGTAGCCGGATGCCACCCACATGTCCCTCCCCGGGAGTTTCATGCTAGCCCCTGCACGCTTCAGAAAGGCTAGAGGGCTTCAGAAGCTGAGGCTAAGGGTCTCTCACCCTGAAGTCCTAGGTAGGGACATTTGCTGAACCCCAGGACTGCCAGATACCAAACAGGAACAGAGCACCTGATGGCCCAGAGAGCCGAGAAACATTTCTTTTGAATGGTCCATATGTTACATCTCTACTGCTCACAAAGAAAACTAAGCCATTGACTCTGAATCACATGGACCATTCTCAGAGAACCTTGTGTGGCCAGTATTTACAAGAATGGCCTTTTCCCCAAGTCTGATGATGTTTCCTCACAAACTGAAGCCTATTTAGCAGAGGACACATTTCATTTACCCACCCACTCCCAGACACTTGAGACATTTACAAAATAAACATCAATAATAGAGTCTTTACCTAGCTCAAGGCCCTAGGTTCAGTCCCCAGAAGCACAAAAGCTGGTTTCCAATACGAAAATACTGTAACGAGCATCTAGTCGAGACTTTCACCCCTGTTTTTTAAACACGTATTTTAATACAATTTTTGACATTTTTTTCTTTAATTATCCTGCAGTTGCTTAGAACCAAAGCTGTTAAATATAACCCTTCCCTCCACCTCACACACTTACCTCTCCAGTTTCAAGGAATTCTTCCACAGACTCTAATTCTCTCTTCCCTTGGAGTATACCTAAGGGAGCCAAGCTTTGTGCTGGGAACTCTAAGAAAAGAAGACAAGATAACAAAAGATAACCCCAGTCTCCTAGCATTTGACAATCCCTCAGAGGCCGGAGTGGGGGGACATCCTTTCTACACTCCATAGTCCATGACAGGAAATGCTTCTGAGAGGTCAAAAACACCTTGCTTCTGACTCACCAACTACAGGAAAACCTTGCTTCAATAAAAGGTGTGAAATAGGGGAGGAGAAGGATGAGGAGGAGGAGGAGGAAGAGGACGAGGAGGAGGAAGATTCATGAACCAAGTCCTACTGCCCTGCAAGAGTGGGTTCGTGGGTGGGGGGGGGGGACGGGTGTCAAACACTGAAGTGAACAAGGCCAAAAGATCCTTCCAGAACTTCCTTTCTCCTTTGGGAACCGAAGCTGAAACAAGCCACCTTTTGACAAAGTCCCTTGCTGCGTGGGCGGGCAGAGGTGAGCTCCCTCGATCCACCCACCCTTCTTCTCCGTGGGCTCCAGGGCCTCAGCCAGGAGTCTCCACGAAGGAGGTCTTCCCAGTCTCCAATGGAGTCAGGGGAGGAACACCACGAACAACTTGTGTACTGATTTCTTTCACTTTTTAAATGAACGGTCTTTCAAGAAGAGAGGATCCTAAGGACAGATCAATCATTTCAATGGGATTAAAATACGGTGGCAGAAACAGTTGAGCGTGGATTGCTTTAACTCACCCCGTGGTCTTATACGAGATGGGGAAAGGGATTCAAGAATAAGAAAGGAACGTGGATTTGGCTTCTGAAGCTGATTCACTAGATAGAAAATATTTTATGCTTGAATGTGTCTGAAGAGATGATAATAAATTAAATTAGTATAGTTTTGGTTTTGGCCAGTGGATTCCCCCGCCCCCCCCCCACAAAAAGACCTTTTCCTGGGGGAGGTGCTCCAGATTCCTAAATGGCCATGACCAAGTGGGCAGGAAGTAGGATCCACAGCAGTTATTTGGGTAGGATGGGGGTCTTTCGGATGATGAGACCCAGAAGATTTAGTCAGTCCCAGAGCCTAGCGTTCTAGGAAGTCTTAGTGTACCCACTGACCTTGACTGACCTGGAGTGATCTTGCTCTGTTGGTGGCAGGGACCTGGGCTCAGAGATGAGTTCGTTTGTGCCTTAGCTGATGGGATTTCGTCCCCAGGGTTCACCACACCGAACTTTTCTCATAGAGCCCCACCACCACGACTCAATCCTAGCCTCTCTGAAAAACGGTTATGGGGAAGGAAACACAGGCGGTGGTGGGCTCTGTGTTTGGCGACTAGCAGGCCTCAGACACTTTGTTCAGTGACTGAACCCTGGAAGCCCAGCTTCGAGGCTATCCTTATTGTGAACACCGCTAGCCCCGGGCTGAGGCTCGGCGCTGACCCGGCCGTAACTGCCACGGGTCTGACAATGGGCACATCTGTCCTTTCTCCAAGGGATAAAAGCACCTAAGCAGACAAGGCTCTGCCTTTTGTTACGGACTTTTTTCTTTCTTTCTTTTGTAAATAAAAGAAAGCCGCGGCATGTGGCGGCCGGGTGTGTGTCCCACACTGGGGGCCTCCCCACGCGTCCCCACCAGGCTGAAGGCCCGGGTTCAATTCCGGATTGGAGCGTGACTGTGACAAGGGCGCAATTATGCCCAGAGCTGAATTGATTTTCAAATCTGGAGGCTTCTTGCAGGGACGCCGGGAAGAGGAAGGCGTCCCTGCGGGCCAAGCGGAGACCCGCGCGGCCACGTGCACTCTGCCTGAGTGGGTACCCCTTCGGAGCAGCAGCAGCCTCTAGGTGCTCTTCTAGGAAGGCTATGAAGTAACTAAGAGACCGGCCCCCGATGTTAACCAGGGAGCCCATCCAGGCACTCTCTGCTGTCCCCCTCACGACCCCCCAAGCAGGCTCAACCGAAGTGAAACGTCGCCTTAATAGGGAGCATAGTGGAAGACCTCCTCTGAAGTCTGGAACAGCGAGGTGTGGCCTCGATCCGGACTCAAGGCACTGAGTGCTCCTCTGCCCATGGCTCGGATGGGGAAAGATGGATCTAGGAGTACCAGGGAGGATGCGGCCACGCTAACATAGGGCTTGAAGATATACACCTCCCAGGCCCCATAGGCCAGGCATTTAAGGTTGGAGAATGGCCTCCAGCGACCCTCCAGGGAATAAAGCCCAGTGGGCGAGTGGGCGAGGGCCATGGCACAGCCCCCCCCCCCCCCGGCTCCTCGCGGGTAACCTGCACCGGGAAACAGCCACTCAGACCCAGGGGCTTTAACTCTCTAACCTAACTGGCCCACAGTGACAGAAGCTAGGCAAGAGAGTCGGGCTGGGAAGAGAGGGGAAGGCAGTGAGGAAGACCAGGGGGAGGAAGCAAAGCCTCCCGGGACAGTGGCAGCGGCTCCAAGTCGCGCTCTGCGCGCGTCCCGTGCACGTGCGCACCGCCCCGGGGCCATCCGGCGCCGCCTCGAAAGCTCTGCTCCCCCCACTCCAACCCTCCCCCCCCCAACCCGGTTCATTTGTACTGGGACGTCACGGAGCCCGTGCACTGGGGCCGAGGGGGCGGGGCCTGGGAGCGCGCATGCGCGCTGCGCCCGGCGGGCGTGAGGGCGGGCAGCGGCAGCGGCGGCGGCTACCGAATCGCGGCCACAGTCTGCAACAGTAACCGAGCCATGGCTCGAGCTGGCGGGCGGCGCGCCGGGCAAGCAGCAGCCGCGGCAGGCGCACGGGCCGCGTCAAGGGAGCCGGGGTCAGCACGATTCTAAGAAAGAGAGGGGCGTGAGGGGGCCGGGCTGGGCGGGCTAGGGGCACCGCGCTCTCCCAACAGCGCGGATCCTTTTTTGGAAATTAATATTTAAAAAAAAAAAAAAAGCAAGCAAGCAGAGGGGAAGGTGGGAGCAAGAGAGAAGGCGAGACACACAGAGAAAGAGCGAGACACACAGCTCCCCACCGTAAGAGGAAGAAAGGCCACAGTCGCCGGCGGCTGCCGATGTGAAGACTGGACTCCGTGCGCCCCTCGCCGCCTCTGCCCGGCCACATCGATGTTGCAGCCCGCTCGCCCGCATCACGATGAACGCGCAGCTGACCATGGAGGCGATCGGCGAGCTGCACGGGGTGAGCCATGAGCCGGTGCCCGCCCCTGCCGACCTGCTGGGCGGCAGCCCTCACGCGCGCAGCTCCGTGGGGCACCGCGGCAGCCACCTGCCTCCCGCGCACCCGCGGTCCATGGGCATGGCGTCCCTGCTGGACGGCGGCAGCGGAGGCAGCGATTATCACCACCACCACCGCGCCCCTGAGCACAGCCTGGCTGGCCCCCTGCACCCCACCATGACCATGGCCTGTGAAACTCCCCCAGGTATGAGCATGCCGACCACCTACACCACCTTAACCCCTCTGCAGCCGCTGCCGCCCATCTCCACCGTGTCCGACAAGTTCCCTCACCACCATCACCACCACCATCACCACCACCACCCACACCACCACCAGCGCCTGGCGGGCAACGTGAGCGGTAGTTTCACACTTATGCGGGATGAACGCGGGCTGGCCTCCATGAATAACCTCTATACCCCCTACCACAAGGACGTGGCTAGCATGGGCCAGAGCCTCTCGCCCCTCTCTGGCTCCGGTCTGGGCAGCATTCACAACTCCCAGCAAGGGCTTCCCCACTATGCCCATCCTGGAGCGGCTATGCCCACCGACAAGATGCTCACCCCAAATGGCTTTGAAGCCCACCACCCTGCCATGCTCGGTCGCCACGGAGAGCAGCACCTCACGCCCACCTCGGCCGGCATGGTGCCCATCAACGGCCTTCCTCCACACCATCCCCATGCCCACCTGAATGCCCAGGGCCACGGACAGCTCCTGGGCACAGCCCGGGAGCCCAACCCTTCGGTGACCGGCTCGCAGGTCAGCAATGGAAGTAATTCAGGGCAGATGGAAGAGATCAATACCAAAGAGGTGGCGCAGCGTATCACCACCGAGCTCAAACGTTACAGCATCCCACAGGCCATCTTCGCGCAGAGGGTGCTCTGCCGTTCCCAGGGGACCCTTTCGGACCTGCTGCGAAACCCCAAGCCCTGGAGCAAACTCAAGTCCGGCCGGGAGACCTTTCGGAGAATGTGGAAGTGGCTGCAGGAGCCGGAGTTCCAGCGCATGTCCGCGCTCCGCTTAGCAGGTGAGCCGATGGGCGCGTGGGCGAGATAAGGGATTGAAGGTGGGAGGGAATGAGAGAAGGCTGGGCGCGCTTCGTCCCGCTCCGCCTCCCCTTTCTTCCCTAGACCTGGAAGAGCCAGCTTAGGCAGCCGACCTTCTCCTTCGGGAGCTCAGTGCATTGGGCTGTGGGAGGCTTCAAAGACTGAACAAGGCGGCCTCCGTGACTTTGGGGTCGCATTTGTGCTCGGGGACAGAACTACAGGGTTTTGAGCCGCAGGCCGAGAGACTCTTGGAACCTGGTGGAACACTGGGTGTGTGGTTCTCAGCGGAACACAGCGGGTTTAGGAAGGGACGAAGAACGCCTAAAACTGGGTCCGGTTGCTCACGGCACACACCCGGCGCGGGGCTGGCACTACTCAAGCTACCAGTCAATATTTGGCTGAGCTGGCCGCGGCGACCCACTCTTGCCCCCCAGTTGTATTGGCGCCGCGCGTCCGGGGAACCGCACTTCGATAGGGTGTGTGCAGATTCCAAACCTGCAGGCGATGTGTGCATGGCGGGCTGGTTTGGAAGGGTTTCCACACATGCGCTGCGGCTGTGGAAAGGAGAGGGACGGAGACAAACAGTGACCAGGTCCCCAGGAACCTCCCGGTTGAGCCCAAGGACCACCGCTGACAACTTGCTTTTTTGTTTTCGTATTTTTTTTTTCATCTAAATCTCGGTGCTACTGGGTAGGAGTGTGTAAATGTCGCCCCCCCACACCCCCAATCAGCAAGCTGGTCTCCCAGTTCAAAACCCCCAGCAGGCTGTTTGATGTTTGAGCGTTGAAAGTCTCGGCTGCCAAGTGCAAGCGCCAGGCCTGACTCCTCTAGTGGGCCAAGAGACCTAGTGGACAGCTGAGCCCAGATGATGAACCGCACCAGGGATTCAGACACAGCCGGCGACCCTTGAAGACGCGAGAAGAGGGCAGCCTAGGGGCGGACTGTGTTCATGAGACCTGGGTGGAGGTTGCCGCGTTGATTGACTCCTGCGTCCGCGTCCCCCCACCCCCCCACCCCACCCCCCGCCTCAAGCCACACACAGCCTCCTCTGAGCCCAGAGCCCAGGTCTGAGTCTTGGTGAAGGGAAAGGTAAACGCTGGAATCAGGGTTTGTTAATTAACTGATCGTTCTCCATTAATTCGTCCCTAGAGAATGAGAGACAGTCAATCCGCTCTGAGCCGAGGGCACTGAGCCGTTTCACGGACTAAAATCAAAGCATGAGGCCAAACCCCCCTCCCCCCCACCCGGTGCCTGCCAATGAGAAGCTGGGAAGAGGCAGGTGCGGACGAGCCTGGGATCCTAGCCCGCGAGGCTACCCTAGTGTTCCCTGCATCTGGGCTCTAGAGGCCTTTGGTGGTAGGTGCCACCCTGCTTCGGCCTCTGACCGCCCAGAATTTCCGGCTTAGCTCACTCAGTCCTTTGCTCTAAAGTTCTCAAGGCAGGCTCGGGTTAGTGCGCCCAGGATTCTGGTGAGGCGAAGGACAAGGGAACCTGAGCCGACCGAATGCTGCGCCTAAGCCTCACGGTTGCACTATGACTTTATGTAGCGGTGGAGACCCTGGTGGGCTCATTGATTCCCCGCAGGATAGCTGATTCTTGCTGCTCTCCCAACTGCTCCACCTTCAGAACCTTCCATAGCACCGGTACCTTCGCTGGAAGCCAGTGCTCCGGACCTTCCAGGCAGGTAGGGCTCTGAGGCTAGCCAGTGTGGGGGCACGGGAAGTGTGGATAAAAAGCGTACTCCCTCACGAAAGTCCCATCCCGCCACTTGGTGAAGACACTCCAGACATCAGTGCCACTTCACATAGTCTTCTGTCACACCCTGGAAGGAAGAACGGATAGGTCCTGTGCTGAGCTGAGTACCTACCTAGTCCTGGAAACCTAGCCTGTCTACCCTGAGCAAGACCCTCTGACCTCCAGATAAGAAAACTGAGCTGGGGATGGGGGTTGCTTGGTGCTGGGGAGCCCTGTGAAGGAAGGCCTGAGTTCTAGAACCTGCACACCAAAGGCACGAGTTGGGTGCTGAGCAGGTGCTCATGGGACCCAGGAGGTCATCAAAAGGTGTCTGTACACTAGGTCCCAAAGGCTAGCTCTGTTTGTTACTCTTGGCTCCAAGCATGTGGCCTTTTCCTAGAATGTGTGGAAAATGGGAGGCTCCTCCAGCAGACACCAAACCCAAGGACACTGGGTGTCCTGAGACAGAGCCAAGCACCACCTTTCATTTTTGTTTCTGTAACATCCAAGAGTGAGAAGGATCGGGCCTAAGTCTTCAGTGAGGGGGCGAGGTGCTCATGCAAAGAATCCAGAACCATCTATTCTGCCTCGAAAGTCAGTCTATTTTGAGTCACTAAAGAACAACCAACCTGGCTGGCTCGTTGATTTTTCCCCCCCTTTCTTAAGAGAGGTCGGTTTCTGGTCCTTGGAATGGTGACTAGCAGGTCTCAGTGATGGAGTCTAAGGACTGACAGCCTGATGCTTTCCCTTGGCAACTGCAGGAACTCAGGGCCTGCTAACCAGCCCCCGACACACACACACACACTGCAGCTTTTGCTAGTTGTTGCTCTTAAGACTAAACCCTCATCTTTTCTCAACCCCCTTTTAAGGCCGGACCTAGTTCCTTCACTCTTCAGTGGAAGGGCGGTTTCCTCCATTGCCTCTCTGTGCCCCCGTGTTCCACGCAGCATGTTTGGAGGGTCAAAATCCCCTGCACGTGGCAGTATGTTTGGGGAGGCGCCAGAAGGGTGTATAAATTACAAGCGCTGGTGAAAGACTGGAGGAAATTCTCACCAAATTAACTACCTTTTAAAAATCAATATATGTTGCCTCAACGTAATGCTTGCTGCTGCTCATTAAAACGCAGCGTGACCAGACGCTCGCCGCTTCTGGTCCCGAGTGGGGTGGGGAAGCTAAGCTGGGTGCCCCGCCTCTGACGTGGGCGTCTATCAAGACAGGAGGAGATTAGCTTCCAATTAAATATTCCAGAAGGCTTTGGCCCCTCAGCGGGAGCTGACAGCGCAAGAAGAGACTGCAAGAGACCCCCACCAGTGAGTGCCTGCCGCTCTAGCGCTGTGCACCCAGGAGATGGTGGCGGCTCAGGTCCTCAGCCCAGGCAAGGCTGTGTGCTGGGCACACAGAGCCTGCCAGAGGTGAGGAGACCTCCAGAGCCCTGCATGAAGATGGCCTGCCCTTCAGCACCCGGTACTTCGCCCCCTTGCGGTTGGGTATTTGCTCCTCTGTGCTAGAGGCAGATCTAAGCTGGGGGCAAGGGGGGGGGGTTTCTACCTGGAAGTGGCCCTGAGAAAGTCTTGCCCAACCCAACCTGGGCAGTGTTTGCAGTGAGGTGGCCTTGCGGCCTGGTTGATTGATAACTGGCTCTGCACACGTCCATTTGCTTTTGTGTTAATATTTATCCCGATCAGTGACATTTCAAGTGTCTGGTGCTGCCAGGTAGGAGTGCTAGGCTGAGCCCTAGGAACCGCATTTGTTCAACCCCTGAAGAATTCTGGGTGGAGAGAGAGAGAGAGAGAGAGAGAGAGAGAGAGAGAGAGAGAGAGAGAGGCCAGGACTGGGTATGAGAGATGCCAGGGCTGGACCGGCTCCTGGGCTCCCGAGTGGGAGGAGAAGGCGGCAGCACCACACCGATTTCCTGGCGCCCTGCTCTGTGGCTCTCCCGTGATGCAGCTGCTGCTAGCCCTCTGCCGCTTGAACAAAGGGCCGGCAGGGCGCGACCGAGCGTGTCCGCCTTGGAGGCTGAGGTCAAGGCCTGGGATGGCTTTCTCCCAGCATGGCTAAGGGATAACCCGTTATCAGGAGGCAGCCGAGAGTCCGAGAGCCTCCAGGGATGAATGGTGGGGGTGAACTGGGGTAGTCGGAACACACACACACACACACACACACACACACACACACACACACACACACACCAGCCGGTTATAAAGTCAAAAGGACTTGGGGACAGTTACCAGAAGGCTCTGAGCAGCATCTTTCTCACAGACTTTATCTGTCCCCTTGGTGGGACAATAGTTGCCTTTGTGCATTTTTCGTTGGGGCAACTACATCCCATGAGGAGAGGAAGCGCATTGAGGCTGAGAGGTGCCTGTGGCGATAATTAGCGATTGTAGTTTTTGTAGCGAGCTAAGCCTGCTTTCTGAGGCTTAAGGAGACCTGGTGGTTGCGGTGTGTTGATCTTGTGGCTGTCACAGAAGGACACCCACCACAAACAAACCGAATGACATGTTCAGAAGGTGCCTACCTTCCCGCCCGTCCCCCACCCCCACCCCCCAAATGCAGCCTGGAGATCCTTGAATAATTCTGAGTATCATTTCCGAATTCCCAGGGTCAGGGTACTGCGGTCCCTCCAGACCCAGCCGCTTACAACTGACAGAGAACCTTACCAATAGTACAGGTAGGTCGTGGCAGTAAAGCCATCCAAAGCCTACAACGTGACTGTCTTCGAAGCTTTTTGCCCCGCGTGAGCTCGGCAGAGGCAGAGATGAGCTGGCTTCGCTCCCGGACCTTGGAACCTAGGTTCGCTTTGCTGCAGCTGGGGTGGCTGTGCTAAGGACGCTGCGCGTGCCCCCTAGTGGCCGCCTGACGAGGGGACAGGAGATAGATGTTACGCTGGTTGAGGCTTTGTTTTTAGAGCATCCTTGTCCTAAAGATTTTTCTAAGCAGTATTTTGATAGGAAGAAAGTGTGGAGGAGGAAAAGGATGCCTAACAAAAGGCCCATCGAGGAAGACACAATTTCCTTCCCTACCAATTATACCCGGAAATCTAACCTACCCAGAAAGGGTGACTGTTTCTGTTCCATGCCCGAATTATGCTCTCTGACATATTTTTACCTAAGAGGAGCAATGAGTGCAGAGGTGACCCTGGCAGTCTGAAGTCCAGGAAGCTGGGACCAGTATTGTCTGCACAGATTAACAGTTCCTTTGTTTTGCTTACTTCCCAGCAAACTGGCCTGAGTGAGTCTGGAGGCAG